CTGAGCATTCTTCATCCCAAATGGCATGACCTTAAACTGGTACAGACCAAATGGGGTGACGAATGCCGACTTAGGGGTAGCATCCTCGGCCAGGGGGATCTGCCAATAACCTTTACACAGGTCTATGGTGGTCAGATAGCGCCCCCTGGCAATGCGGTCTAATAACTCGTCTACCCGGGGCATCGGGTAGGCGTCAGTGGTGGTCCGCTCGTTGAGCCGCCTATAGTCCACACCGAACCGGGTGGTCCCATCTTTCTTAGGCACCAGGACCACAGGCGAGGCCCAAGGGCTGTCTGAATGTTCGATGACTCCAAGCCTGGTCATCTCCTTCCGCAGTCCTTCCCGGACTGCTTCAGGGATACGATAGGGGGACTCTGTCCGGGGGTCTTTACCTTGTGTACAGCTAGGGTAGTGTAGCCGTGTTCTTGGGAGAATGTCGCCTGCTTCTCCCACAGAAGCCTGTACCTTCTCTGTGGGGCTTAACCGGTCCCCTAGCTGTACAAGACTAGTGAGATCAGTCTGGGGGTCCTTCTCTAATAGGTCAGGCAAGGGTAAATTCTCGGGGTCATCGGCAGCCGGGGCACACACTGCAGTGACATCTTCTGGTCTCTCCTGATACTCCTTCAGCATATTCACATGAAAGGATCGCTGAATCCTTTCATCTGCACAGCTGGCTATAAGATAGGTAGTATCACACACCTGAGCTAACACTTTATACAGGCCCTGCCAAGATGCTTGCATCTTGTTCGTCTTCACAGGCTTGAGCACTAGAACCTTTTGCCCAACCTGAAAGACCCGCTGTCGGGCACCCCGATCGTACCACCTCTTCTGTCTCCCCTGGGCCACCTGGAGATTTTCCCTTACCATCAGGGACAGTTTCTCCATGTGGTCCCGGAGTTCCAGAACGTATGGCACGATGGGGGTTCCCTCTTGCTCTGTCCCTCCCTCCCAGTGTCCTCTAATGAGATCTAGGGCTCTGCGGACCCTTCTCCCATAGAGTAGCTCAAAGGGAGAGAACCCAGTAGATTCCTGGTGCACCTCTCTGTATGCAAATAGCAAATGAGGCAGGAATCGCTCCCAGTCTCTGCAAGTGTCAGTAAAAGTCCTCAACATCTGTTCGAGGGTGCCATTAAATCGCTCGCAGAGACCGTTAGTCTGTGGGTGATAAGGTGAGCTAAGCAGCGGTTTAATACCGCACACCTTCCACAGCTGCTGGGTAAGCACAGCGGTAAACTGAGTTCCCTGGTCGGAGAGGATCTCCTGAGGGAACCCAACCCTAGTGAAAATTTTAACCAGGGCATCAGCAACCGTCTCTGCCTCTATATTAGACAGCGCTACTGCCTCTGGATAACGGGTGGCATAGTCCACCACGGTGAGAATATACTTCTTACCAGATGGGCTAGCCCTGGCCAGTGGACCCACAATGTCAACGGCTATGCGGGAAAAGTGTTCTCCAATGATAGGCATCGATATGAGCCTAGCCTTTGCGTGATCCCCCCGTTTACCTACCCGTTGACATGTGTCACATGTACTACAATAGACCCGCACATCTCGGTTGAAATTAGGCCAGAAGAAATTTTGGGTGATCCTATGAGCTGTGCGGCGGAAGCCTAGATGGCCTGCTAATGGCACATCATGCCCAATCCGCAGAATCTCCTGCTGGTATTTCACAGGCACCACCAGCTGCCGATTCTGCGGAGGGGTATTCGGTTTCTGGGACGGTTTAGGAATCCTGTACAGCCTATCCCCCACCCACTCGTAATGCTCCCCATCGACCCCCTCTTCCCCAGTATCTGCCCTGGCCCTATACTTCTCTAAAGTCGGGTCTTCCCGGGTTTCCCTCCCGTACATCTCTGGGGTATCCCAGCCTAAAGGGGCCTGATTCAAGGTACAAGTCAGGGTACCTGGGTCTCAGCAGCAGGTGGCACGGGTCGGCGGCACGGGTCTGGGCACGGGTCATGACAGCGTTCACTTCAGCAGGACCCATGGGAGCGTAGGCAAGGGGAGCCAAGTCATTTCCAAGGAAGACAAGGGGAGCCAAGTCATTTCCAAGAAGGACATCCGCTGGTAAGTCCCTCATGATCCCCACATTCACATGTCTCGCGCCCACTCCCCAATCCAAATGTACCCGGGCAATGGGTAGGCGAAAGACAGAGCCTGCGGCTACTCGCACCGCCACAGTGTCTCCAGTGTGTTGGTTCTCAGACACCAAGTGCTTTTGAAGCAATGTCATGGTTGCACCGGTATCCCGCAGACCACTGACCTCCTTCCCGATGACTTTGACAAATTGCCGGTGGTGCTGTCGGTTATCCCGGTGGGCAGCTTGGACAGGGTCTGCCTCGTGCAGAATGCCCCAGCATACCTCTTCCTCCACGCAGTGGGCAGCCGGGGAAGGGGGTCGTTGATTTCTGTTGGCTGGTCTCCTCCAAGACTGGGCCTGGATAGCATTGTTCAGCGGGCACTCTGGTCATTTGTGCCCTAGCTGCTTGCACCCAAAACATCTGATGGGTTGCGAGTAATCCCGTGAGTTGAACCGGGGCGGCTGCTGGTAGTTATTAGATGGAGCGGGTGCTGACGGCCGGTTCGTCGGTGGTTGGTAGACGGTAGCTGCTGGGGATGCTGCTGGTCAGTACTCCACTCTGGCAGGAGTCTTACCAATAGCACTGTCCAGTTTGCAGGCATCTGTGTACTCGTCTGCCAGGCGAGCTGCTTCGTGTAGAGTGGAGGGTTTACGGTCCCTTAGCCACTCTCTGATGCCTGGGGATAATTTTTCAAAACAGTGCTCCAGCAGGAACATCTGCAGCACTTCTTCCCCGGATACAGCTTGGCACCCCGCCATCCAGTGGGCAGCTGTGCGGTGCACTTTATATGCCCATTCAACATAAGAATCCCCAGCTAATTTGGTAGTGTCTCTGAACCGCCTCCTGTATGCCTCCGGTGTAACGCTTCCTTGACAGCCCCATAATCCCCGATCTCCTCATCGGGAATGGCCCGAAAAGCATCACTGGCCCGGCCGGATAACTTGCCGGACAATATAGTCTTCTGGGGTTACCTTGTGTAGGGCACATTGCCGCTTAAAATCAGCAAGGTACCCATCAATCTCTCCTCCTGTCTCACTGAAGGATTTAAATGCTGCAAACTGTACCTTCTTTCTTTCCACCGGGATTGCTGGAACTGGGGCTGCTGCAGCACCTCTTTGACGTAGCAGGTTGGCCTCCACAGCGTCCATGACCCGGCTGATGATCTCTGGAGATGGGTTGGGACCATAATGAGCCAGTCTGATTCTTACCGCCCGGTCAAAGCTTGCCTCCTCGGGGGTTCTGTCAGCTGCGCTGGGCCCATTCGTTCCTTCAGCCCCTGGTACTCCATTCATTTCGTTCAGTAGTGCAATATCTCCCTCTTCTTGAGATTACTGGCTTGTCTGCCTCTTTGTTCCAATAAATCCTTTAGGGTAGCTCTTTTCAACCTTTCATACGGTATTTCCATTAATCCTGGCTGTAGTGGTCTCTCTGGCCGATGAGGGTCATCCCGTCATTTGCCACCAGTTGTTACGGTACCCTCAGCATCAAATGAACAAACCGCCGTTTAATGAATCCTCCCCTCTCGCAATAACACAGGCTTCATTCGTATCAATTGTAATCATACGAACCACAAGCAGGGGAATGTTGTAATCTCCCGAACGGGACCCGTACGGGTGCTTCACTTCTCAAGCTCCAAACTCACGAATCGCCAATAGTAGCCGAACGCATATATCTCCCAAGGGGCTAATAATCCCATCCGGCAGTCTCTAGTCGTCGGTAATAAATCCCACCAATAACGAGACCAAGCTCCACATTGAGGGTAAAACATCAACTGGCTTTACTGTGGGCTACCCGCCCGTATTTATGCAGGTCTCCCACTCGGTGGACACTCCCCTAGGGGACCAAATGGGAGACTGTAACAATAGACAGACATATGGCATGTTAGGACCCACAGACACAGAATATTCCCTGCATTATGGTTTCCTCCCCTCTGCCCTGGAGACAATTGAGAAGTAATTCAATTATCTCCCAGGACAGAGGCAAATTGCAAAAAACACATAAAAATATGTAACTTTATAATTGTCGAATATTTCCCATTCGTATCACATATCCCCAGATAGCCTGGATCTGAGTGCATATTATTGGCGAATAGCGCTCAGATCCCATACGCATAGTTCAATCGCCATGGAGTCAAAGTCTATTACAGTCTTTCGGTATGCGATTGACTCCATGGGAAGGCTATCTGGGTTAAGTCCATTTGTGCGTTTCAAACTTCTGAACGGCCGGTGTTCGTGTACTTCTGTCGATCGAGAAGGGAGGTCGGCGGCTTCAGCGGTGTTTGGTGGTAAAAGTGTCAGTTTTTAGTTCCATAGAATCTGGGCTGAACACCGCTGGTCTTTCGCTTGTTTAAAATGGCCGCCGCCTCGTGGTCGACATATGAACGACGACCACCCTGCATTCGGTTTTAATTGAGTAGTGTCTGCGGTTAACCACAACGTTCTAATTGGGATCAAGAGGTTAACCAGCAGCACACTTCTCGTCTGGGTGGCCGTCCGTTCGGTAGTTTTGTTCGGCAAAAAACGTCAATTATACGAACAGAGGCATACGAACGGGTAATTCCACGAAAAGGCAAAACAGACGAACCAGCAATCCCAGTCTATACAGATGGATCTGTCACAAACTTGTTTTCTGTGGTATTATGGTTATATTCAGGTGGATGTTGTGTTATGTCTTGTAAACGGAATCTTCAGATAGTGGAATATAACTGTGGGTTTTGAGTTATTTTTATTGTTTGCCTTGTCATTTGCTTTATAATTTTCAGTGTCCCCCCTGGTTCCCAACAGTCAGTATTTATTTGCATTTACACATAAACATAAGCAGTACACTTGGACAGTATTGCCACAGGGCGCACAAAACTCACCCACTATGTACAGCATGGCTATGGCCCAGATTCTTGAAGAGTGGCAAAGGCCAGATGATGTAATCTTATTGCAGTATATCTTATTGTGTAAAATGCTTTTTACACCCAAAAGTTGCCTGTCATCTCAGCTCCGGCACTGGGTCTTCCAGATTACAGAAAGCCTTTTATACTGTTCTGTACAGAACAATCGGGTTATGCGACATCTGTCCTTACACAGGACCATGGTAGTAAACAAAAAACAATAGCATACTACTCCACCAGATTGGACCCTGTTGCCAGGGGTGCCCCCTCTTGTGTTAGGGCAGTGGCGGCTGTTACTGCCCTCCTGGACAAAGCCACTGATATTGTCTTAGATAACCCAGTGACCATATACACACTGCATGACATCAACAGAATACTGTCACAAGTTCAACCAAAACACATACATACTGCAAGGAATCTCAGAATGCAATCTGCCTTGCTTATGCCACCTAATGTTACACTGAAAAGGGGTATGGTGTTAAATCCATCTACATTACTTCCCATGGATTTAAATGTGGGGAGTGGAGATAGGGGGAATGGTACTTGTACTTCTGATCTTTTTGTAAATTCACTTTCACCAGATGCGTTAGCTAATGCCCAGGTACCCCATGATTGTGCAGCACTAATGGCACAAGAGACAGCAGGTTTTTCGCATGTAATTGATACTCCATTATCTAATGCAGATTTTGAGTTTTTTGTAGATGATTCCAGATATGCTGATGAGAAGGGTAATTTCCACACTGGATATGCTGTAGTCTCTGCACATGAGGCAATAAAAGCTGAACCACTCCCTCCTCACTGATCTGCACAGGAGGATGAGCTGAAGGCACTCACTGAAGCGTGCAAACTGGCCTCTGGTAAGACAGCTTATATTTACACAGACTCTCGCTATGCCTTCATTATAGCCCATGATTTTGTCCCTATATAGTTGGCTCGTGATTTTCTCACCTCAGCAGGTACTCCAATCAAGAACTCTGAAGCCGTGAGTGCACTTATGGACGCTATCCTGCTACCCACTCATGTAGGCATCATCAAGTTGGCAGCTCACGTGAAGATCACAGATGAAATTACAAGAGGAAACCACAAAGCAGACAAAGCTGCCAAGCAAGCAGCAATCCAAGTACATCTTTCTACAGGTAATACCTTCCTGCAAGTTGTTCTCACAGATGACGCAGTTGACTACAATATACTGCTGAGCTTACAAAGACAGGCAAGCAAGGAAGAACATGACCTCTGGAGGAAACAAGATGCAGAACATAATGATGACAGAATGTGGAGGAAAGGTAAAAGACTGTGTCTAGCACGAGTGTTGTACCCCATGATGGCCCAGATGGCCCATGGACCTATCCAAGATGCACATGAACAGCATAGTAAACACCCATTGGCTAGCACCCGGATTTACTGTTGTAGCAGCGAAACACACCCAAGCTTGCATGATTTGTGCTAGAAACAATCCAGGACAGGCTGATAAAACACCAAGTAAACTTACACCAAGGCCACTTTACCCGTTTCAAATACTGGAAATAGACTATATTCAACTGCCTAAGGTAGGAGTGTATGAATATGTGTTGGTGTGCATTGATCTCTTTTCAGGATGGCCTGAGGCCTACCCAGTGTCGAAAGCCACAACAAAGGTCACAGCAAGTACACTTCTGAAGGAACTGGTATGTAGATACAGGGTACCTGAAGTAATTGAAAGTGACAGAGGTAGCCATTTCACTGGGGAAATAATGCAAGAAATTATGAAATCCTTAGGGATCAGCCAGGCCTTCCAAACCCCTCATCACCACAGAGTAGTGGGAAAGTAGAAAAGGCAAATGGCACCTTAAAGAACTAGATTTCAAAAGCCATGCAAGACACGGAAGCCCTGGACTGAATGTACTCTTGTCTATGAGATTCACCCCCAATTCCAGGCATGGCCTGTCCCCTTTTGAGATCCTGTTTGAATATGCCCCTGTTTGATGCTCCCTTGATAAAGGCATTTTTGCCGAAACGTTGGGGGTGTTTTTGTGACTGACTCTGTCCCTGCTTCTCACAAGGTCTGGTATGCTTATTGTTATATATATTTTGTATATTTATGTCCTTGTTTGTGGGGTTGGATTAGACTGTTATTTCATTTCTCTATTTCTGTATATTGAGACTCTGTTATTCATGTAAGACGCTTTTGGCGTACATACATATATATTCAGAATTTTTCTGATCATTGCTGTATAGCGTGACATGATCCTATATTTTGGATCTTTATGTTATGTGATATTTCTAAAGAATATACCCACTTAATAAATATTGTTTTATTACTATTGATGGTTGTGCTCCTGACTTCATTGTTATTTGAATGTGCCTCAAAGACAGGCCTCTACTTTCCCCAGACCTTTCCCCAGATGCAGCATGGTAGTATGACTGCCTATGTACAGGCCCTCCACCAAAGATTAGGCAGGGTGCATAAACAAGTCTTTGATTCCATTCCAGATCCAGACTCTGATTTTGCAACTCACAAACTGCAGCCTGGGGATTGGGTGGTGATAAAAAGGCATGTGAGGAAAGAACTTGAACCACGCTTTGACAGTCCATTCCAAGTGCTCCTGACTATGGCTACCTCATTGAAACTGGAAGGAAAAGCCATGTGGATACACACAGGTCACTCTAAACAAGTCACTCTGACTGATTCACCGACATGAAGCTGTTTTTATCCTTTACCATTGTATGCTCTGTTCAGATATGCTACTCTGACTTGAGCCCAGAAGATAATAATGCATGGCAGGGAAATATATGGATGCAGATAGCAAAACGCCATACAATCTTGTCTATTAGCTGTCCCTACCCCCATCTAACTCTTGAGGAAGTACCTACATACCCATAGACCTCATAGATCTCTACAACTACATTATTATGCTTTCAACCCACTGGTAGGCAAGCCCCCCCTAGCCCTGAAGACAATTAATGTGACAGCCGCTGAACTATGTTGGTCTTTTTCATGTAATTGTTCAAGAGACCCTAATACTAAATCCCTGATTTGCCCCACATGGTGGAAAAATACCACAAATTGTAGAGTCCTGAGCACCACTATGAAATGTACCAAAACTCACCAAGTTATGATTTACCACCACCATGTCTATGGCCTAAAGAATGGACTTTCTCCTGTGAAAATATTACTTATGCTTATGTCCTATTACAGGCATTGCGCATGAGCGTCCAGTAACGTGGCAAAAGAATTCCCAGCTCCCCAGAGGCTGTCCTAGCACCCCGGTCATACAAATATTCATTAACGGCTTTTTCTTGTTGGAGCAGGCGGTCGAACATTAGGAGTGTTGAACTCCAACGTGTCGGGCTGTCGCAAATCAAGCGCCTCACTGGCATGTTGTTTCGCCGCTGGATATCGGCAAAGTGCGCCATGGCCGTGTAGGAACGCCTAAAATGGCCACACACCTTCCTGGCCTGCTTCAGGATGTCCTGTAAGCCTGTGTACTTATGCACAAAGCGTTGTACGATCAGATTACACACATGTGCCATGCACGGCACATGTGTCAACTTGCCCAACTTCAATGCCGCCAACAAATTTGTTCCGTTGTCACAAACCACTTTGCCGATCTCCAGTTGCTACACAGTCAGCCACTTTTCCACCTGTGCATTCAGGGTGGACAGAAGTGCTTGTCCTGTGTTACTCTCTGCTTTCAAGCAAGTCAAACCCAAGACGGCGTGACACTGCCGTATCCGGGATGTGGAATAGTACCTGGGGAGCTGGGAGGGTGCCGTTGATGTGGAGCAAGACGCAGCAGCAGAAGAGGACTCAGCCGAGGAGGTTATGGAAGAGGATGGAGTAGGAGGAGTAGAGGAGGTGTCAGCAGGCCTGCCTGCAAGTCGTGGCGGTGTCACCAAATCCTCTGCAGAGCCACGCATTCCATGCTTGGCAGCCATCAGCAGGTTTACCCAATGCGCAGTGTAGGTGATATACCTGCCCTGACCATGCTTTGCAGACCAGGTATCAGTGGTCAGATGGACCCTGGCCCCAACACTGTGTGCCAGACATGCCATTACTTCCTTTTGCACAATCGAGTACAGGTTGGGATTGCCTTTTGTGAAAAGAAATTTCGTCCGGGTACCTTCCACTGTGGTGTTCCAATAGCTACAAATGTTTTGAATGCCTCAGACTCCACCAGCTTGTATGGTAAAAGCTGGCGGGCTAATAGTACAGACAAGCCAGCTGTCAGACGCCGGGCAAGGGGGTGACTTTCTGACATTGGCTTCTTACTCTCAGACATGTCCTTGACAGACACCTGACTGTGGGCAGATGAGCAGGAACTGCTCAAGGCGAGAGACGGAGTGGCGGATGGTTGAGAGGGGACAAGGAGGACAGCAGTGGTTGACGTGGCTGAAGATGCTGGACCAGGAGGAGGCTGGCGGCTTAGAGTAGGCGAGCTGCTTGTACTCATGTGTTGATCCCATAGGCGCTTGTGATGTGAGATCATGTGCCTACGCAAAGCAGTTGTACCTAGGTGGGTGTTGGACTTCCCACGACTCAGTTTCTTTTGGCACAGGTTGCAAAGGGCATCGCTGTTGTCAGAGGCAGACACACAAAACAAATTCCACACTGCTGAGCTCTGCAATGACGGCATTCTGGTGGTGGACACAGCATGCGCTGATTGGCATGCTGTCGGGCTGACCCCGGGTGTCGATGCATGCTGTCTGACTGTGCCACTAGCTCCTTGCGACGACCTTCCCCTGCTTCCAACTCGTCTCCTCCTCCTCCCTGTCTCCCCATCTGAACTTTCGCCTGTTCTTCTTCTTGACGAGCGGGCACCCACGTGACATCCATGGACGCATCGTCATCATCAACCGCTTCACTTGTATCTGACAACTCAGCAAAGGAAGCAGCAGCGGGTACAACATCATCATCATCACACCGTACATGTGTAATGCTGCCTGACTGAGACATATCCCTGTTATTTACATCCTCTGTCAATAATGGTTGCGCATCACTCATTTCTTCAAACGGATGTGTAAATAACTCCTCTGACATACCAAGTGAAGCGGCTGTGGTGCTAGTGATGGTGGTGGCGGCAGGCAGGTGAGTGGTATCTTGAGAGGTGCCCAAAGCTAAGCTAGAGGAGGATGTTGCGTCAAGGTTCCGAGCAGAAGCTGTAGAAGATTGGGTGTCCTGTGTTAGTCAGTCAACTATGTCCTCAGAACTTTTCAAGTTCAGGGTACCTGGCCTCTGAAAACTGGGCATTATTCTAGGGCAAAAAGGAATCACAGCACCACGACCATGACGGCCCCTGCGGGGTGGCCTGCCTCTGCCTGTCATTTTTTTTTCGATTAGTGTTACTATGCGTGCAAGCTACTGTGACACCAGATATGAGTGGCACTGTGAACTGGCAGAGGTTGGCAGAGTACACGCTGTAGGCCTGACACATCCGCTTGAAGACTAAGTGCTATTCAATCTATAACAGTGAAAAAAGTTTTTTGTTTTTAAATGCACGCTATTGTGACACCAGTGAGTGAGTGGTGGCACTGGACAAGTGGGCACAGTATATGCTGCGAGCCTGACACACAGACGCTTGCAGACAACTAACTGCTATTCAATCTATTACAGTGAAAAAATTTTTGGGGTTTTTAAATGCACGCTATTGTGACACCAGATATGAGTGGCACTTTGAACTGGCAAAGGTTGGCAGAGTACACGTTGTATTCCTGACACACCCGCTTGAAGACAACTAACTGCTATTCAATCTATAACAGTGAAAAAAGTTTTTTGTTTTTAAATGCAAGCTATTGTGACACCAGATATGAGTGGCACTGTGAACTGGCAGAGTACACGCTGTAGGCCTGACACACCCGCTTGAAGACAACTAACTGCTATTCAATCTATAACAGTGAAAAAAGTTTTTTGTTTTTAAATGCACGCTATTGTGACACCAGATATGAGTGGCACTGTGAACTGGCAGAGGTTGGCAGAGTAAACGCTGTAGGCCTGACACACCCGCTTTGAGACAACTAACTGCTATTCAATCTATAACAGTGAAAAAAGTTTTTTGTTTTTAAATGCAAGCTATTATGACACCAGATATGAGTGGCACTTTGAACTGGCAGAGGTTGGCAGAGTACACGCTGTAGGCCTGACACACCCGCTTGAAGACAACTAACTGCTATTCAATCTATAACAGTGAAAAAAGTTTTTTGGTTTTTAAATGCACGCTATTGTGACACCAGATATGAGTGGCACTTTGAACTGGCAAAGGTTGGCAGAGTACACGTTGTAGGCCTGACACACCTGCTTGAAGACAACTAACTGCTATTCAGTCTAGAACAGTGAAAAAAGTTTTTTTGTTTTTAAATGCACGCTATTGTGACACCAGTGAGTGAGTGGTGGCACTGGGCAAGTGGGCACAGTATACGCTGCGAGCCTGACACACAGACGCTTGCAGACAACTAACTGCTATTTAATCTATTACAGTGAAATAATTTTTTTTTAAATGCAAGCTATTGTGACACCAGTGAGTGAGTGGTGGCACTGGGCAAGTGGGCACAGTATCCACTGTGAGCCTGACACAGAAGCTGGCAGACAACTAACTGCTATTCAATCTATTATAGTGAAAAAAAATTTTTTTTAAATGCAAGCTATTGTGACACCAGTGAAAAATTTATTTTTTGCTATTAGCTGTATTTGTTATTATGGCCATTTTCTAACCTTTAGATTCTTCTCATGTCTACTAACCTCTCTATGTAAAAACAAATCTACTGTTGGCCGTACCGTACAGTATACTTTATTTGCAATATTTCACAGTGTCTAAAATGCATTTTTAAAAAAAGTATAAAAGCAGAAATGCATTTTTATCCCACGTATAGTAGATGTGACAACATAAATAAAAATGCTCAAATACCTTGTTTATAGGTATTTGTAAGTATCCTGACAGCATTACTATGTCTGCAGCATACTGAAAATGGCAACAGAATGTGAAAGGAGTAAATGCATTTGGGCATAATGCCCACATACATTATGTGTAACGCTATAACCCAACACCAGAAGAAACCAAGACAGATAGAAGGTCCATAAACTGTTTCTTAGAATGGTTGGATAATAGAATATAAATTCAAGGAATGTCAGAAAAGCCAAGGTCAAGGGAAGCCAGAAATACACAATACAAGAAACAAAGCCGAGTCAGGGAAGCCAGAAAAGAGTAGTCAAGAGCAAACTGGGTCAATACCAAAATTATACAAAACAGACAAAAGAATGCACTATTGGGACACTAGGGACACTTGGAACCACAACAGTGCACTGTGCATTGGTCAAACTGAGATTTTTTATGTTGGTGCAAGTGTGCTGAGCTCTATTGTTTGGAGCTCCTCTGACGTCATGAATCAGTCAGGTGTGTTCCATGTTCTAAAAATGGGCAGGTGCACACAATGCTGTGTGAGAGGGGCGGTCCGGCAGATCAGAGTGTGGGCTGATCGACGGACCGCAAGGGTAAGTAAAAGGGGCTGACATTATGTATTTCTAAAATTAAAGTATTTAAAACTGCTATAGCAATATTTATAATGCTCTGGAATACTAATGTAATGCTAACTGTGAAATGGTATAGTCTTTTCACTTCTCTCCAGTCTCTGCCTGCAGGAATCATATGACCCATTTGAACTCCCTTTACTGCTTGAAACCAGCGAGTGTGCTTACATTTCCAATGCATTTACAAGCAATGCATTAAAGACTAGGGCCTTCCAGCAGAGGAATTTATTTCTCTGCAGGTTGGTAATCATATTTAGAGTATAAATGAGGGTGGATGAGGCTTTTTGAACTAGTTTTAATGCTACAAAATATATAAAATTACATACATAAAGTTAAGATACATATAAGTTCATACTCAATTGAGGTATCAAAGTGGTTCAATGTTTCTATAAATTGTGTCAATATTAAAACTGGGTTTTACATTGGCAATTAATTTAAACAATTGAGTCAATTTGCCTAAAAGTATTCACAGCTCTCTAGTAAGACTTCAAGTAAGGTGACATTTATAAATTGCTGATGAAGGCAAGAAATGAAAAAGTAGAATTGTATTTGACATGGATTTATGTTCTCCCATTGAATGTTCAAACTTCCTAGTTCAAACATGATTGGGAACTAGTAATATTGTACAAGCAAGAAACATATGGTCTCACAAAGCAATATGGATTTAGATATAGATTTAGGTTTAGATACTAGTATTTAAAATTAGCAAAGTTAGCAAAAACTAGCAAAATATTTCTTGAAAGAATATTAACCAAATACTTTCATTGGTTAGTGTAGAGGAGAAAATCCAAAATGTAATATTCATTACTTGAGTATATACAGAGTGAGAGTTAAGCCTGTGGGATACTAAAGCCATCCACACTGAGTGCTAAAGGTGATATCCTTCAAGAGATATCTAAAAAGCTGTTAAATGTTGGGGCTTGACTAGAAGGTGGAATAAGACACAGTGCTCCCGCTAGAGGATACTAAACCAGCATTCAAACTTGTACTCACCCGACATCTGCACGGCCTCTGATGTATTGGCAGATTGTCAGATTTACTTAAATTTGATCCCATGGCACAAAGCCCCAGAAGGAGGGCAGTGGAAGCTTGCAGACGGCGGCTCAGCTCCAAGACCCTTGGGCCCAACATGCAGATCACAGCCTGAATCCCTAGCTTCTATCAAAGCAGACAGTGATGAGACAATCAGAAGGCTTCTGTACAGATTGCAGTCCTTCCTGAAAGATAGCCTCTCAAAAGTAGCGGCAGATATCAGAAAGAAGATCCAATCTCTAGGGGATAGAACTGACAGGCTGGAACATAAAATAGAGGAATTGGCTTCTGCACACAACTCCAACGCTGATGCACAAAAGGCTCTGGAAGCCTGGGTAGAGTCTTGAATAGAACTTGAATACAACGGTATATAATGTTAAGTGAATTCAACAAACCTCCACCAATCTCTTGAAAAACAGTACTGTGTGAGATTTTTTAAATGAAAATATAGTACAGTGGACGGTAACCCAGTAGGAATTGGGCCTGCTACCCTGATAAGTGGAGGGAATGTAGAAATAAGATGCTAAATCATGATCAACTGGATCAGTATTCACCAGTCTTGTATAAGAAACTAGATAAAAGAAAGGAAATACAATAGTATATTGTGTGAGAAGGCAGGCTTTAATACAGTAAGTACAACCAGGGAAGAGATCTCTCATCTCTCTCCATTCACTATGAACTTTCCCCTAACCACACTTCCTCAGCTGTCCTACGCTCATTTGCACCCGCTACAGGAAAAGAGTTTTCTGCTTTGCTCTGTTCCTCCCGGCCCAACACCTGTTCCCTCGATCCTATTCCCTCATATCTTGTCCGCACTTTGTCTCCTTCTCTTGCGCTGCATCTTATAAAAATTTTCAATCTCTCCCTCTCCTCTGGCACATTTCCTCTACCCTTCAAACATACAACAGTAACCGCGATTCTGAAAAAGTCCAACCTTGACACTAATTCCCCGTACAACTACTGCCCTATCTCACTACTGCTGTTGATTGACAGACTTCCTTAAATCCAACTCTACATGACCCGCCTTAATCTGGATTCCGCGCTCGTCACTTTGTTGAAACAGCTTTGACTAAAATATACAATGATCTTAACACTGCTAAATCCCATGGCCACTACTTTATCCTAATTCTCCTTGACCTTTCTGCTGCTTTTGACATTGTTGATCGGCAACTAGGCATGTGCATGGGGAAAATTTTTGTTTCGGCTCGGCATTCCGAAATTCGGGACTTTCGCAATTCGGGACTTCGGCAATTCGTCACTTCAGCACTTCGGAACTTTGGAATTTCGGCATTTGGAATTTCGGGACTTCAGGACTTCTCTTGCAACCGCTTAGTAGATAACTCCCTAATTCCCACGGTATTAGGGAGTTACCTACCAAAAGGCTGAAAGACCTAAATTGGTCTTTCAGCCAAATTTACTAATACTAAGTAAAAATTATTAGTACATTTTGCCCCTACTCGCTATAAGTAGGGGCATGTCTAGCAAACAGTGAGAAGCCTGTGGCTGCTCACTGTTAAAAAAAAAAAAATAGGTTCCCCCTTCCCGAGCCCCCATCCACGAAGCACGAGTGGGGGCTTTTAAACTAAGGTTTGAAATCCACCAATCAGAGTGCTCTGTGTCATTTTACACAGCGTGGGAAAGTTCTTTGGAATTTTCCCACGCTGTGTAATTTGACTCATAATACTCTGATAGGTTACTTAATCCACCAGTCAGAGTGTTATGAACTTTCTCATGCTGTGAACTTTCCCATGCTGTGTAAAATGACACAGAGCACTCTGATTGGTGGATTTCAAACCAACCAATCAGAGTGCTGTGACAGGTAAATGTAGAGACTTACCTGTCAATCTCTTCATTTACCTGTCAGAACACTCTGATTGGATGGCTTAAAGCCACCAGAGTGCTCTAAGCCTAATTTCAGGGCGGGGCAAGGCTTTATAAGCCTTCCCCTGCGCTGCAGAGCTCAGCCTGCGAGGAGCCCTCGCTGAGTGAAGATGGATTTATTTTTTTGTGCTTTTTTTTTTTTTAATTGCATTGGTTATTATGGATTTTTATTTGGCCTTTATTGGGGCTGAAAAAAGATTTTAGAAGAAAGAAAACATCGAATGGTAAGTTTTTTTTTTTTTACAGGTACTTAGTTAAAGGTCCCCCCCTCATTATTTTTAGGGTGAGGGGTGTAGATAGGGGGTTAATTTTTTTTTTGGGAGGCAGGGGATGACTAGGGGTTTGAGGACCCCCTAGTCACCTGGGGGGGGGTAACATTTTTATTTAGGGCCCCCACCTGCTGCTCAGGGGTGGGGGCCAGGGAGGAGGACAATATGCCCCCCCTATTGTTATTTAGGGCACCCACCCGCCGCTTAGGGTTGGGGGCCAGGTGGGAGGACATTAGGTTCCCCCCTTATTAGTATTTAGGGCCCCCACCCACCGCTCAGGGGTGGGGGCCAGGGGGAGGACCTTAGGTATTTAGTGCCCCCACCCTTATTCCAATTTAGGGCCCCCACACGCCGCTCAGGGGTGGGAGCCAGGGGGGAGGAGATAAGGTCCCCCCTTAGTATTTAGGGCCCCCACCCACCGGTCAGGGGTGGAAACTAGGGGGGAGGACATTAGGTCCCCCCTTATTATAATTTAGGGCCCCCACCCACCGCTCAGGGGTGGGGGCCAGGGGGAGGACAATAGGTCGCGGGTGAGGGCTCAGGAGGGGGGACCTTTTTTATTTATTTATTTTTAACAGTGAGCAACCACAGACTGTTTAATAGACATGCCCCTACTCATGGCATAGAGAGTAGGGGCATAATTTACTAATACTAAGTAATCTTTACTTAGTAAATTTGGCTGAAAGACCAATTTAGGTCTTTCAGCTTTTTAGTAGATAGCTCCCTAATACCGTGGGAATTAGGGAGTTATCTACTTATTCATTCCTGTCATTACATTGACTGGCTAAGTAACTTACATTTTATATGAATGCATGTTACTTGATTGTTGTAAGTGTTGCAAATGCTTACAGCTGAATCCTGGCTATGTATACTTTTTATTTAAAATTGTATACAATGTAACATTCTTCTTCTTTCACTGGGTAAGTATATTAGTACTTAGGCAATCCGGCACTTCGGCAATTCGGAAGTACCTAAATGTCCGAATTGCCCAAAATACATCCGAATTCATATTCGGACCGAAACGAATTGCACACGTCTATCGGCAACAGCTTCTTTTCATCCTCCGTAATCTCAGTCTACGAGATACCACTCTCTCCTGGTGCTCTTCCTACCTTTCAGTGTTCATTCAGTGTTTCTTTCTCTGGCTCTGCCTCTTCTCCCCAATCCCTCTCTGTTGGTGTTCCCTAAGGGTCCTCCCCTTGGTCCCCTATTGTTCTCAATCTACACTGCCTCCCTTGGTAAACTCATCAGCTCCTTCTGTTTCCAGTATCATTTCTATGTGGATGTGTGGATGACACTCAAATTTATCGAATATATATGCCTATAAATGAGATGTCGCAAAAAGTAATCAATATTGCAATAAGCAGTACAGAATGCAGCAACAAATATAAAATCCTGGTAATGAGAATTAAAGTAAAGACAACACATCAAAGTAATGGTGCGCAATATTAAAAAAAAACACCCTCTGTGGATATATCTTATAATCAATAAACTTCTTAAAGTAATATTATTCAACTCACAAACCTAGGTGTATTCTAGATGTATTAACAAGTCATAGTTAGTGATGTTGTGAAACATACAGACAAAAAGTGTGACATATGCATATACTTGCAAAACTTGTACAGTCACAACTCTGGTATCTACAAGGGAGACAAAAAAATAGAAGGAACTCTGAGTGCAATAGAGAAACAAACATGAAATAAAAGAATAATCTGTAGGTATCTAACTTACAAGTTGAGAGTGGTAAGAGCCCCACTCATAGTTATATCACCCAGGGAGGATTAGCCCCTAGAATGCGTGGGATCCAACGGATGCACTGATGACCAGGATAGCAGGCAAGTAAATGCTTTATTCCAACAATTCCAACAATAAGTAAAAAAAACATGAAGCAAGTATGGTAGTACACTCCTCCATCCCCTCACCAGCCTTGGGGAAGAGTAAAGTCCTGTATGCTGTACTTGACTCCCAAATATGACTGGTCTAGTTGATGAGCAAGAGAGCACTTCCGCATTCCTAGCCTGTGACACATTTCACCCCTCCCTTTGGTCTTTCTCAAACATGCAATGAATCCTCCCACTCTCGTTCATCATTTATATGCGAAGGATTTTGCTGTGATCCAATCGGCGGTTCTTCGTGAAATTAATATATATACGAAACATATATATTGTCCCTGAAAGTTGTTATATTAAAAAATCATTTGATCCTCTAGTATTAAATACATCTTATCGTTACAAAGAACACAGTATGCCAAAATTTAAAGAGACCTAGAAAGATGAAAATTATTCAAAAATGGAACAGTCATATGGTAAAGTGACACATTATGCATAAATGTTTCTCTCATAAGTTACAAATTGTAAAAATCATGTCTTCACAGTTTAAAAAAATTATAAGCACCAACATAATACATCAAATGAAACTACCAATATAGCTTGGTGCTACTTCCAAGTGCTGTTTCTAAGTGTGTCGTTGGAGATATTCTGGAGAGTTTTACAGAAGCTTCAACTGTCTAAGAGTTGTGCTAAGAGCTTTCTTTTCTACTGTTACAGGTAAGATTCATCTGTAGGAAAAGGTTACTGATTGCACAAGGTTTGAATTCCTGTTGGTAATTATAAGGCATTTGATTTGATTAAGCTAGTTACTTGCTGTTGATTGCTGGTTATTAGCTATTGTTTGCAAATAAGCAGAGGCCTACCCAGGTGTTAATCATTCCTAGTGGGCGGTGATTTTAGGAGTTATATAAGGCCTGGTTCCATTAGCTTGTCTAATATAGCTTGGTGCTACTTCTAAGTGCTGTTTCTAAGTGTGTCGTTGGAGATATTCTGGAGAGTGCTGTTTCTAAGTGTGTCGTTGGAGATATTCTGGAGAGTGCTGTTTCTAAGTGTGTCGTTGGAGATATTCTGGAGAGTGCTGTTTCTAAGTGTGTCGTTGGAGATATTCTGGAGATAAACTGGAGGTAATCTGAGGTATTCAGGAGGATAAATAAAAAAGTTAAGATTTGTTCGATTTATATTATTCTTATAATTGGAATGGCAGGTTTAGTTCAGTGTAACAATTGCTATGCATTTGTTTCACGTTCCAGTTTTTGGAGGTTTGGTTGTTGTCTAATCTGTAGACAGTTCTCTATCTTGCGGCAGGAGATTGTATTTTTGAAGTCTGAGATTTGTAAATTATCTGGTGAAGAAACTCAGACTGGAACT